TTACTGAAAATCCAATTAGGTGCCTAAATTTTTCAACGGAGAAAAAAAATTGCAAATCGTTGTGGAAAAATTATTTTCGTTTGCTGGGGTCAATTACAATCAGTTTTTGTCATTAGACATACCCACGAAATCCTGCCCACTTTCGAGAAAAAAAATCGAGAAGGTGTGAAATTATTCGAGAAAATTAAAAAATTGCAAATCGTTGTGGAAAAATTATTTTCGGTTGTAGGGTTCAATTACAGTAATTTTTGGTGAATAGACATACCCCCGAAATCTTGCGCATTTTCGAGAAAAAAATTCAGTAAGAGCGGCACTTTAAACGTTAATAACTTTTTAACGAAGCTTCCACCAACAAATTAGTATTCTTGATTTTTGTCTTATTTTGGCCTCTACTATCGCTCATTAAAATTTTTGCTAGAGGTGGCCGAACACCCTGTATAATAAAGTCTTCTGCTCGTTATCGTTATATGTGCCTATACTTTCGACCACAGTGCATCTCCTATTGCTATCCCATTAACAATAGTATCAAGTGTTGTTTATTACTTCTATTTTATTAGAAATTAATTTCTTTTATATTTTTTTAATATTAACAGACAAATTGCCTAATTACAAACCCGATAGAGTATTCATAATAGAAATAGTAAAGAAATCCCTGTAATATGTGTTTTTTTCCCCACAGTGGTAACCCATCCCAAAAGTTGACCGCTCCCAATATGCAGCTGCACTTTGGTGACTCGAACGAGGCCACTGTATCCAATATGACACGTCCCTTACCAAATTTTATTTTTAATTTAAACCCCTTAAATACCTCAATGCACGAGAAACTGAATTTATATCGAATTGAAAATTGTTTTTTTTTTAATTTATACGTAGCATGATAAGTGAGTTAGCGCGTGTCGCGATAGGAAATGAACTCGGATTTTTTTTTTCATTCTTTCCGTCGCGAGAATTTCACGTTACCGTCGCGCCGCGTTACGTGATCGACGCAATGTTTAACTTGTACAGGAAAAAACTCGGCACGTGTCGCGTCGGGGAAATTTTATGTGCAACCTCGACACGTCGATGGCCGGGCGTGTGTTTGTCTCCAACGTCACGTTTCGCGCAAGTACAATCGCCGACGAGCATTTAATTATTGGTGCAAGGCGTCCCGGATCGAATATTCCCCGCTTTTCCGTCGCGTCAGCCGACAGATTTTGCATTCGGTCATTGTTTTCGCGGCGACGCGTTCGCCTCGTTGCGCAGCCTTGTTCACATTGTTGCCACGCAAAATTGCAAATTGCGGATTCTTTCGCGCGACACACGATGCAAAATATATTTAATGTCACGGTGTTTGTTTTCCAAAACGAAGGACACGACAGGAAAGAAAAAATGTCGACGCGAACGTTTCTATTAATACGTTAGTCGTCGAAGTTTATTAACCGTGGAAATATATTTCGCTTTAAACCTGCAACTTTGTAGACTTTAAAATATATTACGCCATGCAAATGTGTCTTTGAACGTACAAACGTACACCTAACGTATGAGAATTATTATTGTGGCTAATAAAATGGATCGAAAATTTAGAAAACTTTTTGTTCGAGGTTTCGTTCTCAAGGAAAACAATGTTAAACATTTTTTAAAATTTATGGTGGCTTCTCGAGTTTCGTACAGAGCAGTTATTATAGCGTTTGAGCAATTAAAAATGCAAACAGTAGGAGTGGAATTTAAAAATGGTCAAAAATGTTTATTTAAATTTAGACCAAGTTTGTAGCGTGTATTTTTGCGCACGAAGCCAGTAATGTATGTGGAAGCAGCGTATTGTTAGAGTCATAGGAGGAACTTATTTAGTCGTTCGCGTCGGAGAGCTTTAATTACTCGTGCATAGTAATTAGCACGTGCAGAAGCCGCCCGCGTATCGTCTCCGAGGACGTCAATCATGTTTGTCTAGAAGAGTCGAGCGTTTCGATCGTTTGGAAAACACCGGTGGGCACTCGTCGAACGGTTTATTCCATTATCTCAGATCGATTGACGCCTTCCGAGCTAAAGTTTCCACGCAATTAATTATTCGCGCGCGATCGGCAAACAACGCGTCAGCGATTTACTACCCGTGGAGGCAATATCTTCTTATTTGATTCCCCTTGAGCCGCCATCGCTTCCTTGTTCTTCGCGAAAGGAAAACCTTGTAACTGGTCTTTAATATGTTTGAGAAACTTTCATGTGTTCGAGAAAAACGCTTCATCGAGAGGCCATTTTTTTTTGGCACTGTTTGATATTGATTGAAAACAAAACTATTATGTATAGAAATATATGTTACTATGGTGTGGTACATTTTTGTTCAGAATATATTTCACCATCGTTCCGACCAATATTTGAAGTTTGTTTTCAAGTCGAATTACAAGGAATGATACGAAGATATATTCGACAAAATGACGTGGTCATGTGATTAAAAACGTCAACGTATAATTGCTGGATTTTTTTCAAAATTTGTCAAATTATTAATGTAATGAATTTACAGATTCTTTGTTGGATCGAAATTGATAAAAATAAGCATAAATGGGATGGATCAAAAATGACGCCAGGTCATGTAATTAAAAACTTCAATTTACAATTGCTGAATTCTTTCAGAGTTTGTCGAACTACTAATGTAACGAGTTTACAGATTTTACGTTTGATCGAAACTTATAAAACTGTGCATAAATAAGATGGGTAAAAAATGATCCAAATCATGTGATTAAAAATTTCACCGTACAGCTCCTGATTTTTTCAAAGTTTACGATTCTACTAATGTAACAATTTTACAGAATTTACGTTTGATCAAACTTTGTAAAAATGTGCATAAATGACATGGGTCAGAAGTGACCCAGGGTGGGGGTGGACGAGGGACGAAGGATGACTGGTGGAAGCGTGTAAAGTTTGATGAAACGCGTAAGAGAAGAGTGGCGAGGTTCGCCTCGTTAGGGCTCTAGCGTCGTTATTGTGGTCAAACTATTTACGCTCTTGAAGCGATGAATACCGAACGTATGGGAACCGGCGAGGCTGCTTCTCAATATTCATGTACCGAGAAAGGCGAAGGATCATTAAGCCGCCGCGGCGTACGAGCGGAAAGCACACGGTGTGCCAAGTGCAAGTTTTATGAGAAACGACATTGCTGGAGTCATCAATAATGCGCGGGGACTCGTGACTTTTCCGTCGATTCTATTTACGGCGGAAAATCTATAACGGGGCAGAGGACGCAGTGTGCCGGGTTATTGACTGAAACGCTCGCAGCTAAGCGTTACGTAAAGTCTGGTACGACCGTGGGCGTGCTAGATGCTGGCTACCGATCGTTTCCGCCTCGAGAAATTCCACGAGCCGCGAGCTAATCGATGAACACGTGCTCGTCACCTGTAACCCATTGTACGGGTCGAGATTTCATTTAACGGCTCTCCAATATTCGATAACGCGTTCCATCGATTTTCTTCGGCCTTCCAAACCCACCGATTTCCCAGTTCGATCGGAGCGCTCGAGAGTTTGGGAACGGTTTGCAATTCAATTTTCATTCTTATTCGGAGTAAAGCGGGCCAAGATTGCCCAGGAAACCCAATTTTCCAATTTTAAATTTCGACACCCGTAATATTGGCTATATTTACCATTGGGAAAATGATATACACGATTTCTGTTATTTTAAATATGAAATCTGGAATACTCCAAATTGAGTGTTAATAACAAAAACGAATCGACTTTGGACTCAAAATAATAATTAAAAGTTTTTTTGATTTTTAACTCTATCGTTTACTATTTTTTTTTTTTTTGAAAGCTTCGCGACGGATTTTTCATGGAGCCTACGTCCCGTCGAGACTCGCGCGAATGTGAAAGCGTCGAGAGTTATTCGGACACGACATCCTTTTTGCTATTGCTGCTATTGTTCGCGGAACTGTCGCGGAAAATTTCTTTTCGACGAAACACCATGCGTCACGGTGCAATCTCGACAGGAATTCGCGATCCTTACGTGACTGCCGCTGCAAAATTCCCTAGATCGTTTCGAAACCTTCCAGCGATATTTAACTCGATCCTGCACGCCGTGGCAATTACAAACTTTCTGGAAAAGCAAACATTCGCGAAGTAAACGTGTCGCGAAAATTGAGACGGCTAAATGTCACGGAGCAATAAGTTTATTCGTGTTTAACATTAGAACTATCAAAGCAGTTAAAATGACCCAGTCATAATTTTTAATAAAATTTGTAAAAAATTTACTTGACTGTATTTTTGAAAATTCACTGCAATTTTCTGTAAGAAAATGAATAAACACTTATATCTATTGCATTATACATTTCTTTATGTATGTAGTGTTTTAATTTCTTTGGTATAAATAAATACACTAGAATTGTCGGTAATTCTAGTGTTAATTGAGGAGAATTAATACGCATGCTTATATTGGAAGGAACTTTTTAACACTAGAACTACCGACAATTATAGTGTATTTATTTATACCAAAGAAATTAAAACACTAGATACACAAAGAAATGTATAATGCAATAAAAATAAGTATTTATTCATTTTCTTACAGAAAATTGCAGTTTGTACAAATTTTATTGGAAATTATGACTGGGTCATTTTAACTGCTTTGGTAGTTCTAGTGTTAATGGTCAAGCAATAATTTCCTCCGTGAAAGAAAAAATTGCAATTCATCTTGGTATAATTAAAAAAAAAAATAAACTTTTCGGTAACAGGTGAAAGTTAGAGTTTAAAATTGATACAGTGATATTTTCTAATTTGTCAATAGTAGAAATCAAATTAACGAAAAATCGTGCGTCAGAGTCTTCCAACGGTAAAAACGAGTGCTCGTACGCGAACGGAATGCACAAACTTCTTGGTAGATGATGCAATTTGTAAAACAGGACGCAGGATCCTATGCATTATTTATACGAACGTAATATTAGTCGCCATTCCACCGAACCAATCTGTACGAATTTGTTACTCAACCCGCTACGTCCAACGATCGACGGCTATTCAAACGTGCATGGTACATTGTTTCTTTGTAGTCTGGATGGTAGATCCTGCAAGGACGAGATATACAGGATGGGAATAGGCGCCGGATACTGCGAAGGAAACCTGAACTTTGCCACGGCCTCGGAGGATGACGAGGTTTACACCAAGAAGAAGGTTTCTAGGGTGAGTCATTGATTCGCATGTTTTACACGTGTCTCGTTACGCGTACAAAGGCTACGAACGAAATGTATGTGATTTAAACGTGTCCGAGGATGTCTTTTATAGTCCTATTATACGTTTAAATAGGGAACAGACTGGAAGAGCTTCATTAGAAAGATCGAAGATCTGGATGAACAGCTCGTTGGACACGGTCGTAAATAGACTGTGGACGTTTGTGCATTTACGAGAAATTTTAATTCTCAGAAAGTAATATAAGAAATTCTCTACAAAGGTCCCAATTCGTTAATTCTGTTAATAAAAATATGAATTTGCACAAAGATCCGCAGTCTAGTCTTGATAAAAAGATACGAAAGTCGTGTTTGAAACCTCACTGTTCCACGGTTCACGATAGTTGCAGTCCAGTTTTTTGTCTTCGACTCGTTGTAACTTCTTTCAACGCGACTATATCGCGTTAATTTGCGATGCAGTTGAACCTCGACACTTGCATGCGAACCTCGTTCCGTCGCGCTATGTTGAAAACTGGGTCACTTAGCAACAAGTGAAATTGGAAGTGGAAGTCTTCCGTTTGAGACCGACGTTAGCACGAGAGGTCAATTATCCTCTTACTCGGATCGGTCTGCCTCGTTAATTGCACGAACCTCCATACTCGCATGCGTCACTTTTCCGCGGTTCACGATAACAGTTCACCATAGGATTCGCTCGCGAGTAGAATTTCCACCACTTTGACCAGTCCTTTTCGATATATAATAAATAAGGGAAAGCTATTTAATCATTAACCATGATAAAATAACGAAGGACAACAAAGCATGGCTTCAGTCTAGACGCGGAATGATGCAATATGGGATTTTTTAAACAATGTAGAATAATTACACGTCACAGATTGTTGCGTCACTCGCATGGCCACTGATTAATGCAAAGTCTACGTGGGGCTTACAACGAGGTGCAATTTCCCTGCACCTGATCAGTGTTCTACAGTATTAATTTTCGAAACAGTGAACAAAAATTGCTGGTTAGGAAAATCATTGAACTCGTAACATAAATAAATTCGGTTCTATATCTATCTAGTAAAAGGGAAAGTTTAGAGTCTGTAAAAAAAATTATCCTCAAACGGCATCTTAATATTTTATTTTAATAATCTATTTTAATTGGGAAAGGTGCAAGTAATACTTTTTATTTTCTACAAACCCCAAGTAGACCACAGATAAATTTATTTATTTGCGTTGCATATATCACGTTTAGAATTTGTTTACATTAAGGATGTTAATTTTACATGTACAGTATTTTAAAATAACTATTACAATAAAGCTTAGTCACGAGTATTTTCCATAAACATTTACTTTCCCAAAATGGAGTTTCTCCGGGTTTTAGCCGGTATTGTGTAATAAAGAAAACAGTGTATTGCTCCTCTAGGTCGACAAAGCTGTTATTAATACATTGTTATACAACAATAATGTAATTTGACAGGACTGATAATCGATAAAATCTATGCCAAGCAGTTAATGAAGCAGAAGCTGTATTTCAATGTGCGGTGAGCAATGGAAAACATGCTGCGCTGCGCTACTCATAGTGTTGCATCATCCTGCGCTCGATTCCCGGTTAGCCTTAAGCCACGGTTCTACTTGTGTAACCCGTGGCGCAAATAAGCATAGAACGTTTAAAAATAGGTGTTTTTTAAACATTACTCGCACCGAAAAATCGCTTTAGTTCTGTTCTGGAGGCTTTATGGGGGCCATACACGCGACGATCTAATCTATCATATAGCGTTCGCGTTCGTCATAAATCAGGGTTCATCAAACTTTTCAGAGACTCGCAGAAAAATCAAAATTTTATCGATTTCAGTACCATTAATATGTTCGAAAGCCATCAACAATCACCGAGGCTTGCATTTTTAATATTTAATATAAACCTTATATAAATGTATAAAGAATTGTATATAATTATGTACGATAAATTGGTAGGCTAGGTTTTTCTTTTAATTATCGTAGCCACTAATGTCGTCGTTTCAATCATTTTTAATGTTACTTTTTCTTTATCCGTTTTTCTTGTCCATTCGATAGATTGACATATTTTCCTAATAAAATACTGTTCCTTGTAATACGTTTGAATAAATAAAGCTTAAAAACGTATTACGTTTGAATAAAAAATTCGAGAAATAACCGCCTTTCGTTAGGGTTCGAGCGTAGAAGATCCTCTTAAACGATTAACTGCCACTTAACGCATAGGTGTTGTTCAATAAGTTATATAACGAGCCCCACTTTATAATTATCGTTCGAACAGTTGTACTAACAATAGTTGTACAGATTATTGTACGAAGCGTCGTTACGTCTGTTGCACAAGTGGAAACCGAGTGGGCGAAATCGTTACGTTTGTTACACAAGTTCAACCTAGGCTTTAGGTTGAATCGTATTTCCGATTGTTTCTCTCTACCCTCCATCGTGCTTTCATCGTTCTATAATTACACTTAATTATAATAACGCTCAGGCCCTCGCAACCCTGTTCTCCAAGCGCCGCCATTTTTCAGCCGTCGTAACTTCCGTATTATACGAAGGGAGATATTCAAATTTCCCGCGCGTACACATCGTTTTTACAATTCTTTTACGACGAGAGAATTTAATTCGTTCATCGAAAAATATAGTTTCGGTTTTAAAATTAATTATAAATATTTAGCAGTAATTTTCGTTTAGCGGATATAGTGATAAATCTTAAAAAACTTCTGCGTATTATATGTCTCGTTAGAAGCGAATGATGAAATCGAAGTCGAATCCTCAACCCACGCATCGGTATCGCGTATGTATAATTATACTTGGAGCTTGATAATCGCGTTCTCCAAGCGCCGCCATTTTTCAACCGACGTAACTTTCGTATTATACGAAGGGTTGATATTCCAATTTCCCGCGTGTACACATTGCTTTTAGAATTGGAACCATCGCGTTGAAAATTGTTCTTTTACAATGGGGGAATTTAATTCGTCGAAAATTTTATATTAAAATTTAGTTTCGGTTTAAAATTAAGGGACCTTTCTATCTTGTAGGATTTAAAAAATCGAATTTTTTTTGCGTTCTCTTTTAATATGTAGTCTCGAAAATATATCTACCAAATATTAAATTGGAATTTGAAAAACTAACGAAGTTATAGCCCGCTGAAATGTACCGCGCGCAGGTATAACAACTGGACGTGAAACTTTAAAGCTGTTTTTCTCGAAACTACATTTTTCGGCACTGCGTATGCGATAACGAAAAAACTATTCAAGATATCAACATGCAATTTATAAAGTATCTTTAGAACTGGTCTCCTTATAGCAGGAACTAGGATAATTGCGATATATGCAATACTTTTTCTTTTATTAACAAAAAAGCAACCGAATATATGAAAATATTCAGTATTTTTTCGTAAAATAGCTGCCATTTTGCCATTTTTTGTTTTTTCGAAAAGATCCTAGTTCATGCTATAACCATACTCATATACATTAAGAATATCGACGGTTCTTGGATTTCGGATAACTTGTTCGCAAGATATCACATACGCAGTCGAGCGCCGTTCGTAAAAACTGTTGTTTGTTAATCAACAAAAACAGCGTAATCAATAGGTATTATGCGTTGCAAAAATTCGTAAATATAGCTAAGTATATAATAAATGTATCTACAAGAAAACGGAATTAATCGCTCTTTAATAGCCCGCAAAAAAAATCACAAAGGAACATGTATTTTTCGTGCCTACAAGGTAGAATGACCACTTAATTATAAATATTTAGCAGTAACTTTCGTTTAGCGGATATAGTGATAAATCTTAAAAAACTTCTGCGTATTATATGTCTCGTTAGAAACGAAAGATGAAATCGAAGTCGAATCCTCCACCCACGCATCGGTATCGCGTATAATTATACTTGGCGCTTGATAATCGCGTTCCCCAAGCGTCGTAGCTGTTTCTGCGGGCGCAATCGTCGGTGTCGTCTTCGTGGAAGGCTGAGTAATCGTGGACGTAGCCCGATTTCTCGGTAAGCGTGGTCGTGGACGACCGGAAGGCCGCGCCAAAATCTGTACGCGACGAACGCCGTCGAGGAACCGGTATTTAGGCCAACATAGAGAAAGGTTTTCCGTGTTGTCGAATCGGTCGGTGACGCAACCGCCGGATCGCGGCGATGGCGGTCACGTTTCTCGAAAACGACGATTGTGACATCTCGACGGGGGCGAAATCGGATCCATCGCGGCGGGAATGCGCGCGCAACCGCCGATCCTATAAATTCGCGTCTATTTCGAGCAGTTTCCGGCGACTTGTAACAAGTTCATTCGAGGACGCGCGAACGTTACATGAACGTGTTTTGGAGGGGGGATCAAGATTTATTCGACGAAGTCGATTTTTATAAGATTTGGCGCACGGATATCCTCTATATTTAAATGTTTTTATTAAGATCGTTGATTGAATTAAATCGAACGTTAAGTATGTATATGGATTTGATATAGAGTGTTTTAGAAAGAACAAAGAGAAGAAAGAAAGCACTACGTTCCTTTTGTTCTGACGTTTCATTCAAACGGTTCGAGTTACGTTCGTTATATTTATGGGCTATCGGTGCCAAAAGCGTGTGCCTCGAGCGAAACACGTCCACGTTGATCGACGCACCTGTTAAAGTCGTGTACAAATAATTCGAATTGTTACAAACGCGAGGTTGGCGCGCGACTCCGTTTGGCGACGACGCTGTAATGCATCCTTCGGTCGAATTTCGCGTTTCGACGCACGATTAAGAGCCCGGACGGTACGATTTTTGGGTCACACGACGCGAAAGTAAGATTAATGCAATATCCGTCGTACGAAGTTATTTGCTTTTAACGAGATATTTATTTTGACGTCGCGAGGGTTACGTACGCGTTGTACGTACGAGATAATTTTGCGACACCGTGTAGATTTCGTATAGAGTTCAATAGGGCCATAATACGATGAATCCAAAAAGATTCATTATTCGTGTATTTAAACGAAATTAAAAATCGAGCAATACGATCAATTTTAAT